GTTAATTTCCCAAATTCCGCATTAGTTATTGTTTTATTCGATTAGAAGTAAATATGGAGTTTGTTAATTAGTTTCTATATATATATATATATATATATGTATATATATATATATATATATACATGTGTATTTTTGAAAATCCCCTCTTTTTTCTAAGCATATTGTTTTTAATTAATTAATTTCGTTTGTATTGACCGCTTCACTGCTTCCCCAAAAACCGTCAGAAAGGTGCAAATTATTAGCCATGAATCACTTGAAGTCACATGTACCAATTTAACTTAAGATGTTCGAACAATATTATAAATCGAAAGCAGGTTTATTAATTGATTTCCATAAACTCAATGTGACTTTAAGCCGAAAATTGCGTATTTACGTCAAATGCAGACAAACCTGCATCAAAGGAAAATAATAAAAAAAATCACCAAAAAATCCTACACGTGAAAGTGTTTTTACGACAGAAGGGTATCCGATCCGAATCTCGCTCGGCCAACGTCTCTCACCTTAACGAATTCTGTAAAAGCAATAGGGCTGCTTCACCAATGACATATGAGAGCAATGGGCTGGTATGTGTTAAGGTAGGGGTTCCAGTCTGGCCCGCCAACGTAGTAGCCCAGGCATATCGGAAAGGAACTTCGCGATCTTGAGATACAGAACCAGAGGTATAAAAGAGAGTCTCTAGCCCTATCAAATAGGACTAAGTTGCAGTTGAGGACATAACACAGGGTGAACACAGTCACAGGCCATCGATGGCAACATAAGAGCAGCAACCATCGATACAACTTAAAGCGGTTTTGGCATAACTGGGTGCGAATTGGCGGCATTGTGTGTAACATCTATCCGGCACAAGCTACAACTCTTCAATTGCCCTGCCAAACTTTTTCACTTAACAACATTTTCCTGGGTGGACTCAATCTATACAGATCGCAGGCTGGCATTCACACTGATGCAGTTAAGAAAGTAATTTAAGAATACAGGGTGAATACAGCCCTGACAGAACATCCGTCACCGAAGATAATAGAAAAGCAACACATACCGAATGGTTTTGACTCAACTGCGATCTGTAGGACATGTGGTAATGTTCCACACGACAACTCTACAATTGTCAAGTCGAGCATATTCGCCTAATAGGACGTTTACATTTAACCGGATTTCGTTAACCCAGTAGGTTTTAATTGTCAATTCCTTTACATATTTGTCAAATAAATCCTCATAAAGAAGGTTAACCATGCAAAAAAGTTCTAGTGTACATGTCGTTTAACCTCATCTTCGCTATGGACACAAACAATTCAGGTTGCAGCCTTTTGCATGTGGAATCAGAAACTGAACCAGCTTAAAATAACACAACAGCAACACATTTTTTATTCCAATATCCTAGAAACATCATCCTTTCTAGGATATTGGAATCCTAGAATCGTGTTGGAAGCAATCATTATCGGCAATTTTGGTTGAAAATCCCCCAAACTGTCAATTTAACGTTTTCAGACGATTAAGTCCAAGATTTATTAATAAGGTCAACCATCTAGCGAAAGTGAACTGTTTCTTCTCAAGACGAATGTCAAAAATTTGGACTATGTTAACGTTTTCATAATGAAAATCAATTCGCATTAACGGATTTTGACAGTAAACATGAGAATCAGCTGATATCCAGCCAGATGACCCTTGGATGACCTTATTTATAGGCATTGAATCATCCTTTCATGTCGACTTATAAATCCCTAAAATACTTTCAATCAATTTAGGAAGGCTTCTTTCAAAATTCAGCTTTTTTTTCCTCAAGTCTATTTAAGTCTATTTTTTTCCTCAAGTCTAATTTGGACGTTGTTAATGTTTCATACTTAGTTAGCTGGCTTGTTACAGAACGCTTGTTCCATAAGCCGAGCTTAAAAAAGATTTCCAATCGCGTCGGTATTGTGCGCATCTGCTCCAATTTGAAAGACCACGTTCCAATATCGTGTTTTCTACTTGGTCTTTCCATCTGATTCGTGGCCTTCCTCTTCTACGGGCTCCCTTTTATATACCTTTTGAGCTGGGGCAATCTCATTAATTCGCAGAACATGGTCTAGCCATGTGTTGTTTGGTGTACAGAGAGCAATTTCTGTTCACCTTTGCGTCTCGTATGACCTTTTCCAGCAGGATGTTAAAAAGATCACACGACAAACTGCCACCTTGTCTGAATAATCGTTCGGTATTGAAGGGATTCAATGTTTTCATACAAGGTCTGTTAATAAGGTCTTCCAGGGAGACCAACTGGATATCAGCTGTTTCTTGACTTCCATTATGAAAACGTAAACAAAGTCCAAATTTTTGACATTAGACTTAAGAAACAACAGCTGACTTTCACTTGCTGTTAGATCTTAGGCTGTTTTTTCTCAAATCAAATGTTAAGAATTTTGACTTTGTTTATGTTTTCCTACTAAACTCCTTGTTCATTAGAACTTTTTACCAGGTTAACCTACTTTATGAGGATTTATTTGAAATATATGCAAAGGAATTGACAACTGAAACCCACTGGGTTAACGAAATCCTGTTAAATGTAAACCTACTACTAATGAAAATCAATTCACAATAGCTCTGTCTGTTTACTCGATATTTGGTAACAATTGTTACCAAATGTTACTATATGTTGTCTGTTTACTTAATAATCCTCAAAAATTTTGAACAAATGTTAAATTTTGTTTTGATCTGGTAATTCCTTCATATTAAAAACAGGTGTTCCGCAATTTTTACAATTAATGCACACATTTCTAATTTTTCCATCGAAAAAAATAGCGGATGCATCTTTTTTGAACACCTGTTTCTATATGAAGGAGTTGCCAGATCTACACAAAATTAAACATGTGTTCATAACAGAGATGGAAGTTTCCAAAACACTCAACTTTTTTCTGTTTATACGGCGTTTTTTTGTGCTAGGCTAGAATTTTAAGACTCCTTCGTCTATAAAGACTCATTCCTAGTGGTATATAAAGACTCCTTCCTAGTCGTCTATAAAGACTCATACCTAGTCGTCTATAAAGACTCCTTCCTAGTCGTCTATAAAGATTCCTTTCTAGTCGTCTATAAAGACTCCTTTCTAGTCGTCTATAAAGACTCCTTCCAAGTCATCTATAAAGACTCCTTCCTAGTCGTCTAAAAATACCCCTTCCTAATCGTTTATAAAAATACTTTCTAGTCATCTATAAAAACTCTTTCCTAGTCGTCTATGGAGAATACTTCCTAGTAGTCTCCTTCCTAGTCTCTAAAAAGACTGCTTCCCCGTCATCTGTAAAGACTCGTTTCTAGTCGTCTATAAAGACTCCTCCCAAGTCATCCATAAAGACTCCTTTCTAGTCGTCTATAAAGACTCCTCCCAAGTCATCTATAAAGACTCCTTCCTAGTCCTCTATAAAGACTCCTTCCTAATCATCTATAATGAATTCTTCAAAGTCGTCTATTAATTCTCCTTATCGGTCGTCTATTAGGATCCTTTTCTAGTCGTTCAAATAGATTCATTTATAAAGACTCCTTCCTATTCATCCATAAAGACTCGTTTCTAGTCGTCTAAAAAAACTTGAAGACTCCTTTCAGGTTTTCTACTATTTTTTTTTATTATTATTCATCAATTAAAAATCCGTCGCAGATGTCTATAAGGACTACTTTCCAGGCGTCAATTAAGACGCCTGAATCTACAAAGACTCCTTACTAGTCATCTGTAAAAGCTTATTTCAAGTTGTCTTTAAGGATTCCTTCCTAGTTGTCAATAAAAGCATACATTCGTAATCGTCTATAATAACCGTTTTTATTGCCTATAAACACACCCACCAAACCGATAAATGCTTCTTAATCTAATCATTCTTCTTCCTAGTCGCCAATAAAGATTCATTTCTAATCATCTACAAAAGTCTCCTTTAGTCTAGTTTAGTATGTTCATAAACAATAATTTTCAATTCATTTAAAACCTCTATTTTTTATTCCATTTAGGATCATTCATAAAACAAATTCTTTTCAGATAAAAAATTCGTGTATGTTATCTCAATAATAATTGTGAAAATTGATCTTTAAAAAAATATTATAGCATAATCACATTAAATTCTAACGACCATTGTTTTATCAATCGCAGTCGATTTTTGTTACGATCGCTGTATTAAAAAAATTGATTTATAAATTCTTTTAATCTATTTACCTCTATTTTTGTATTTTCAACACATTTACGATATTGAATATCATAAATTCTTTTATTGGCACTATGCCATGTGTAAAGTTTACGGTTATATATTTTTATTTGTTTCTTGTTTTAAATCTCTGTAGCGGAGTTTGTTGGATAGGCACCCGATAAACACTGATAAGGTCTTGAAAATCTAAATTAAATTATTATTAGTGTTATAGTTGTAAAAAAAGAGGTAATTGTTTGTGATTTTAACGGTGGTTACCTAAAAAACAAAACAGACGCGTTAATATGATAAAGATAAGAGGGGAACGATACGATGATAAAGAACTATCAGCAGCAACAACAACTAGCAGAGCATCATAATTGGTGAAAAGAGAGATGTTTATATTAGGCAGCAAATGTCATGTTTGCAGAGATTGCTTCCGTAGTAGAATGAACTTGAAGGGAATTCAAATATAATAATTTATAGACACATTGAAAGGAGTTATTGTAAATAACCTAAAAGGAAATTAGTATTTATATCCTACTTGAAAGTTGTTGTTATTTTTGCATTCCAAATGATGTGATTTGATGCATTTTAATTTAATTAAGAACTGCTATTTAATTTTTTTTATTTCGTTTATTTATTAATTTAAATTAATTTAAATGTTGAAGCACAATTTAACTAAAATTGTCTTACAATAGCTTTTTATTTTTAACAAATAATAATTAACAATACAATTTAATATATACTTTCTTTAATTTTTGTTTGTAGTTTTTTTTTTTTTAATTTTAAATAATATTATATATGAATAATAAATGAGTTTTTTGGTATTCATTTCAAATGAATATTTTCCTCGGTCTTGGTTGTTTTTTTTTACATTTTTACATAGAGCATACGATGAGCCAATGGTTTGCCAACCAGTTGACCGTATTTTAAAATTGCTGCTTTATCTGTGGCACTAGCTGCCTGGAAAGAGACAAGAAAAAAGGGGAATATACATTGGGAAATTAATAATAAATTTATTGAATTATGGATATGAACATGTTTATTATACATAAACAATAATTACGAAGAATGAAAGGGAAATTAATAATAAATTTATTGAATTATGGATATGAACATTTTTATTATACATAAAAAATATTACGAAGAATGAAACGAAAAAAGTGCTATATAAATATGCTTGTTTTTTGCGATATAAAACTTTGCTATTCAGCAAATGTGCCAAAAACAACTGTTATCTTATGTATGCCTCAAAGTATGCAATCTTTTTTTTAGTATTTGTTTTTTTTTAACAATCATTTACGAGAGGTTTGACTGAAGTTTAGATATCCCGTCTTAGTTGAAGACACTATATTTAATATTTACATTTTTTAAATTAATGTAGAGGGAAATAGCATTGCATTACCTTAAAAATTCTGTTCCTTATGGTATCCAATAAGCTATTTGATTTCTGTGAAATTTTGTATATTAGAAAGTGTATCTTGTGTATCTAACAAAATCATGCAAATAAACATTTAAAGCGTTCAAATATTCGGCTAGGAATAAAGCATTTGAGACGAACAAATCAAATCAAATCATGCAAGCAACGGATAAATAATAATTTTAGGAAATAAATTCAGAGCAGATTTTTGAATGTCTATAAACTTCAATATTAATCACAGTTAATTAATCTATCAAAACTCATTTCAAATCATCCACGAAGAATAAAGAATCTTAGGTTGTATTTAAATTTTTCAATAAAGAATATTTTAATTTCCTCTATAAAAATAATCTTAAATACGCCTATTATGACTCCTTAAAGTGACCTTCCACCAAGTCGTCTAGTAAGACTTCTTACTAGTTATCTGTAATTCTTCGCTGTTCTTATTACTAATCGCTAATAACTAGGAATACCTCCATCCTAGTAGTCAATAAAGACCAATTCCTACAGGTTTATAAAGTCGTCTCCGTAGTCCTCAATAAAAACTCATTCTTAGTCATATGAAAAAGACTTATTTTTAATCATCTATAATGACTCTTTCCTAGACCTTTATAAAAACTGCAACCTAGTCTTCTATAAAGAATACTACATTGTAATCTTTAAAGATCCATTCCTTCACTGTCACCTATAAAGATTCCACACTCTAGACTCTTTCCTATACGGCCATTAAGACTTATTCATAGACGTCTATAAAATGTCTTAAAGACTTCTTTCAAGTCGACTATAAAGACTCATTAGACACAAAAAAATCTTTTTCTAAACGCCCATAAAGACTCCTTCCCTATCGTCCATAAAATCTCCTTCCTAGACGTTAATAAAAATAATCCATCCTAGTCGTGCAAAAAGGCCCCTTCTTAGTCTTTATAAGGAAGTCTTTTTATTCATCTATAAAAACTACCAGTGGTCAATCAAAACTCCTTCATAATAGTCATATATAGATTTATATTAAGTCTCTTTCCTATTCGACTCTTTCCTAGACGTTTATAAAGACTCCAATCTAGTCTTCTATAAAGACTGCTTCCTAGTCATCTTTAATGACTCCTTTTTTAATCTTTCTTATTCTAATTTTCGAAAAACTCCTTCCTAATCGTCTATAAAGATACTTTCCTAGTCGTCTATAAAGGCTTCTATAAATTTTCTTTCCTAGCCGGTTATAAAGACGCGTTCCTACTCTTCAAAGAAGATTCATTCCCAGTCATCTATAGAGACTCCCTTGCTTATCATCTATAGAGACACTTCCCCAGTCTATAAAAACTCATTTGTCTATAAAAAAAATCCTTCCTAGTTGTCTATAAATCCTCTTTCCTAGTCGGTTATAGAGTCTCTTTCGTATACATTTATAAAAGCAAAAAATATTCGTTCCCTGTCTGTAAAGACTCAATTTAGTTTCCGAAAAGATTACTTCCTAGTCTTCTATAAAAACTACTTCCTAGTCATCTATTGTCTTCCTACTAGTCCATGAAGATTCATTTGTAGTCGTCTATAAATAATCCCTTCTAGTCGTCTATAAGTACACCTTTAAAACAGTCTATAAAGACTCTATCTAGGCTTCTAATAGGACTTCCTTGTCGTCTAGAAATACTATTGTTAGTCGTCCAAAAAGCCGAGACAAGGTACAAAGAGCCGCCTCGATTCTGAACCGGTGACTATTTTTGTGAATAATCAGGCAGCTCTTAAAGCCATCAAATCCTGTAATATCAAATCTGAGGTCGTCCTCGAGAGTAGAGCTGTTTTGGAAACACTCACGGTTATCGGCTGTGTTAGGTACCAGGACAACGTGATATCATGGGCAATGAAAAAGCAGACGAATTATCTAGAAGAGGATATCAATCTACAAATCTAGCAATCTATTGCTCAATCAAACTACCCATCTATCATCTTTTTCGGAACTTTGAGGCATCCTTCGACGTGTGTCAAGATCGTTGAACCGGTGATCTCTGTCAACCAAGAGAACAAACTCACTGTTGAACATGAGCAAAGCTGAAATTAGAGTCATGACAGGAGCCATTACTGGTCATTGCAATATCATGGCCTTTACTAGTAAATGGGACCATGTTGTTACTGATTACTGCAGACTCTGTGCTAACGAGGAGGGTACGGAGACAGTTCAACTATGGAACCTGCTTTGATCTACAATATCATTAGAAACGTAAAGTGGTTAGGAAAGTGCAACCTTAGCACGTAATATGTTTTTCTGTCCTTCTTTAGCCATCGAAATTATTCCCACAATCCCCCTTAATACTTCTTGTTAGCTTCTTATTCCCTTCCCCCTTTTCTCCCCTACAGATCTCTCGATATCTTATCATGGATGATCACAATGGACCGGAAGGTCTCAGAGTGTTGCAGCCACATTAGTGACTGACCTGTTGCAAAGAGACCCACGCAGTCGCAGTCAACAAGTTTTCTTTATCAGTTTTCCAAGTAATCTCGGCAAATGAATTAAGAACCTTGTTCATGCTCCTGAATATATCGCAAAAAGATGACTTACGACTAGAATGAGGTAATCAACAGTGTGGACATTGGCTTCATCGGGGATATTTGCATATTTCTCGTATCGAGAAACTAGATAGGTATGTTTTCATATACTTCGTATGAAAAAGAATGTGCAAGGTCAACTATTGTTGACCCTGGCGCCATGAGTGTAGAATCATCCGCCAACGTAATAATCTCATACTAATCATTACACATTGTGGAACACTATGTTTAACTCTACAGGTCTTGGACTTTTTGTTTCTGAATTCTACGTTCGACAATTCAACGTTTCAAACATGGGTGGAGTGCAGATGCTTGTGGAATACTTCCTAGTTGTCTTCTGATTTTCCTTTCTAGACGCCCATAAAGACTCCCTTAAAGTCATATATAAATACGACTTTCATGTCGTATGTAAAAACTTCATATACGTTCGTTCCACTTTTTTATAGCAACAGGATTCCATGGTCTTCATGTATTAATTGGAACAAATTTTTACTTGTTTGTTTTGGACAGCATTTAAATAATATTTTTTTTTTTTTTCAAAGAATCACAAGTTTAAAAAAATCGTTATTTTCTATACCTTTTAAAAATATAAAATCATAACAAACAACACAATTTTGCTACAAAAAATGGCAATGCTTCTACAAAACCTACCTGTTTATATTGACGATATTTGACATAAGTACTTTCATCTATTAGCAGTCTTACTAAATCCATATCACTTTCTTTAAATTCATTTGGATCGCGGGCAGATGGATCATCGTTGAAACGTTGATATTTATTGGCATCAAGTTTTAAACGGATCTCTAAAAAATAATAAAAATTGATTTCTTCCATATTTAAAATAAAAAATTAAAAAAAAAAACAAAATAACTTACCATCTGACAATGGGTGCCAGGTATATGCCTCCGGGCATAATAAATAGGAGCCAGATAATTTACCTTTGTAACGCATTTTTTGGCAGGAATGTATATAGAAACCCATATAATAATACTTAAGATCAGGAACCGTTTTTGAAAGTTCTTGTACCAATTCAATTTCTCTGTAAGGAAATGAAAAGAGAGGAAATTAAAATTTAATAGCTTGATTTTGAATTATGGGGTTTTGAGGTTTACCTTAAAGAACTATAAGTACCCAAGGAGAGGAAATTATAATCAGGATCATAAAAGAAGTAAACCGAACTAACACAATATGGCAAGATATCAATGACGGCCACCGCAATAAGTTTATCATCCAAATAGTATTGTTGATGAAAGGAGCCATAACCCAAGGGTGGTCCATCCGAGGGCTTAGAAAGCTATATTTAAAATAAAAATAAAAAGCAAAAATGTTTAAATATAAAACATATATTAAGGAAATAAAAAGTAATGAAAATTTTATGCCACCTTCAACGGTGACCGTTGCAAAAAATCCAAATATTCTTGTACAGCATTCGGTGGATCATTGTGTATGTGTGTTTGATATTTGGCATATAGTGAATATGTTTGTGGTAGGGTTTTTTCAAACTCTTCACTTCTCACATGGATCATTTCGAACTGTAATGGGAATAGAATTTTGGAAAGTAAGATTAGCTTTTGCAAGTTGTTTTACCTTTAAGGGTGTATTGTATAGGAAGCGTTGCAACTTTTTAGGTTCTAAACGTTCAGGATTATCATTATGTATGGTTAGTTGATATTTACAATATAAATCAAAAGTTGTGGCCGTGTAAATACTTGAACTTGAAGGTACTAGAACAATCTGTAAGAAGTTCAAAAAAGGGGGAAAAGTTTGTTGTTTGGTTTTGGTATTTCAAATTCTTTTACCTAAAAAAGTTGCAAACTACTTTGTGTGTGTGTTTATGTGTCAATATTTACCTTTAACTTGTGTTTATCATCCGGTTTGGCCTCATTGAGAAATTCCTTTAAGGTTTTCTCTTGATTCCTGGGAGGTTTCTTTTCAATCACGGCAGGCAAGCCTTTGGCGGCCTGTTTTGCCAATTTTCTCTCCAAACGCATTTGTTTGGCCTTCTTGCAGGGCGGTTTGGTAATGTCACTGTCTGCTAAAATTTTATTCAACAAATTTTAAAAGTAAACTCAAATTTCAATTCCCAAAATTTGAAAACTTACATTTCCTACTATTATTGGGTGTATCATCATCCTCTGCCGATTTCTTAATCGGTTTTTGTACATCAACACTGGGTGTTTTTTCCTTCGCCGATTTCTCTTCACTATCCTTTTCCCCATTGGCCTTGGCAAATTGTTCCAAATTAATATCTTTTATGGGGACATTTGGGGCCTGCACCTCTTCACGTATACCACAACCCATAGCTGCATTACTATCCTCATCTCGGTCACCATTCTCCGTGCCATTTGTTGTCTGCGGCGTTGATTGCCCCTCTTCATTTTTATCCCTTTTACCATCACGCAAAAAACGATTCATACGTTTTATGATTTTCTTGTGCGATTTGGATAATTTAAATTCCGATACATCGCATCTTGAAAAAAGTAGAATTGAAATTAGTTTGACTCCTTTAAATGTGAAGAATTTGATTCGACTTACTTAATGGTGTAATGGGGACAACAGGTCTTTGTATTATCTTGTTTATAGCAATAATGGCCACTGCGACGCCATCCTCGATCTATTAAATCCTGATAATCCCGAGGTGCCATAACGTAAGCGTGCATGCCTGCAAGAAAGAGGGGATATATGAAAGATTAGTAAAAAAGAAGAGTGTTTATAGTAAGCCTCTTATAAGTACATATATAGGTCCATAAAGGGCTATAGTGTACATCTTTAGTGAAATTTGAGATTTGATGAAGGGGATAATCTAAAAGACTTAAAAAATGCCTGTATTTTTTAACTTAGCATGCTATACTGTGACGATTTGAATGGTCTATGTGAAGGACCTGAAAAGATTTGTTAATTTCTACGGGTCTTAATTCTCCTTCGGGCCTATTTCGACACTCAAACCTTGCCCTCCTTCGCAATGGAGGATGGTGTCAGGGACATCTCAACACTCAGGTATCCCTGATCAGAAGTCCCAGCCATTATCGTGCTCAGACAGCTCACAGTCTTCTCCTCCTCCTATGGAGCGGCTACTTAAAATAAAACACCATGACGTATACGTTGTGACACACATCATACGTTCAGAGGTACTAACATAAAAATTAGTGATTCAAATTTTTGGGTCCCTTAAAAATTCGTTTTTACGAAATCCTCGTTTTGTTGGGTCCCTGAATTTTTTTCTTTATTAAATCCTCACTTATTGGGGTCCCTGAAAAACTTTTCGTTACAAAAATGACCACTTTATGGTGTCGCTGAAAAATTTCCTTTACATCTTAACACTCAGAGATGCCTTAGAGGTGATCAGAAGTCCCAGGCATCATCGTGCTCAGACTACTCACAGTCTTCTTTTCCTCCTTTGGAGCGACAATTTAAAATGGAACACCACGGCGTATACATTGTGATACACATCATGCGTTCAGGGGTACTAAAATAAAAGTCAATAATTCATTTACCAAATTTTTCTTCACGATGCCCTCGCTTTCTTGGGTCCTTTAAAAATTTGTTTTTACGAAAAATTTATTTTACAACAAATTCATTTGTTTTGTTGTTTTTACAATAACAAAAGAAAATTAAACAATATTGATTGTTGTTAAAAGTTACAGAATAAGGCCACTGATATTGTTTTCGTTACAAAATGCTCACTTTGGGGTGTTCCTAAAAAAATTATCGTTTTGTTGGTGCCAGAAAATGTTTTTCATTCATAAATCCACGACATATTGGGCTCTGAAAAAATATTCTTTAATAAATCAACGATTTATTGGCTCCCTGAAAAATATTTTTCTTTCAATTATGAAATGCCTCGCAATGTCATTCGGAAAGATCCGAGAGAACTCCCGAATAAATTTGAGATTCGTCCCGTCCAATAAACCGAGTTCAGAAGTTAACTCCGGCAAATCTTCTTGTCAGAGATCTATTTGGCATTGAAGCATTTGTTTGTTGTTGTTGTAGCAGTCCTATTGCTTTTACACCATGAGCTGAGGTGACAGAAAGATAGGCTCGTTTCGTTTCGAATCGTAGACTCCTCTGTCGTGGGGGTTTGCTAGTTTCTTGTGCTGATAATTCATCCATCGTTTCCATATGAGGGTTATCAACCTCTACTTCAGCAGCCAGTCTACTTTAGAAGTCTCGAGATTTCGCTGCAGGGGGAAGATAGAGAAAATCCCTGGGGATTTGGAGGAGTATAGACATTGTGTTAATCGCCATAGTGCTAATCAGAGTGGTATCCATAGCGTCTTCCTCGTCTGTCAAGGGCGAGTCATGCCAGAGATGTGTCGGGATACTCTCCTGACTAAGACGGAAGGAACCGGTTTCCTCAATGAGGTCAAGGAGAAGGTCCGTATGCCTCTCCAGGTATTGACATTGATGAGAGTGATGGGATTTGAAGAAACAGAAGAATAGTCCGGTGCATAGGCATTGGTCATCATCGTTTTGTGGAGGTTTGTTGGGATCTGGCATTGTAGAGTTCGAGACTGAGGGTGCCAAGGCCGCCATACCAACATCAGTCCATCCGGACCGCTAATTGTCAGCTCTACCTAAAAGCAGCTCTTGCCTAAATGGACAAGGAAATAGATGATTTGTCATCTATGTGGACAGTTTGGGCATTGATCGGATGTATTTTAGAGGTGTATATATTTCTTGATTGCTAATTATTAATGTTGAGCTAGAGTTGTTCTTGTAAATCTGGAGAGGCATTATGCAGATTGCTGGGGAATGTTCAATAATGACTTTATTCAGGCAATATCCTCGACTGCTTGATTAACCGCTTGACGGTGCAGCTGTTTCAGACCTGCTGTTGTTGACGATATCTGAGCGAAAGTGTCTGATGTTCTTCCGGATGAGCCGTGGAGGAGAACGATGTGATGGTTATGGTGACAATCCAGAATGAACTGTCTGTACTCTGTACTGACAGTATCCTTGTCTCCTCATGAAAATGATTCACACTCGACATTTTGACACATATGGTAGCAATCATTAGAGCACTATTCTGGATCGTTTGACGGTTACGGTATTGTGTGTCGCTTAACTCATGGCGAGTGTTTCTTTATCCTTTCCCAGGAGGGGAAAAGATAGGACTGAGGACTTTCCCTTTGACATGAGCAGCGTGAAGTTGAGCAGATTATCAATACAAATTTCAATATTTTGGTACGATGGACTGTCGGAATTCTTCGATCATCAGTCTTATTTGTATTTGCACATGTTTTTAATATACTATGTAATATTTTTCGGTACAAGATTTTTATAGAGAATGGCAACATGGTCCTCTTATAGAAGACAAAAAGTTAATGCTCTTCAACAAGAAAAACATGTTAAAGAGAAAAAGAATCTCTTATAAAAGACACAAAATAGAAAACAAAAAATCATATTCATGTAGAAAATGGCAGGACTATCCTTTCCACAGGAGGTATCTGTCAGAGCTTTCAGTTCTTTATTTTAGCTGAGGTCTTTCCCTTTGACATATGCAGCATGCTTTGCGAAGTTAAGCTAATTATCAAATACAACTGCTAATATTTTTCGGTACAAAGTCTTTTTAGAGAATGGCAACACGGTATTTTTATAGAAGACAAAAGTTATTACTCTCCAGCAAGACAAATGTGATTTCCAGTTAAAGGGAAGAAAGGTCTTCTATAGGGGAGTCCTTTGTATATGACAAAAAAAAAAGAAACATATTCCTAAGGACATAAAAAAGCCTTTCTTATGAAAGACTAAAAAATATTCTCATAAAGTAACAAGGTACCGTTGCCTAGAAAAGGGGTTCTTAGGCAGGAAGATTACTTCTTCAGGTGATCTATGAAGCTGGAAGTATAGTCGGGTCTGTATAAATTGAATTCAGTTTTCAAAGGCCTGTTCCCAGTATCCAGATTTTTATTAATTTCATTGATTAATCATTCGTAGAACCGGTATTTTTAGGAACACAGAAATCTCAAACCTCACTATAAAAAACAAAATTACTATTATTTTATTGCTGTGTCTTCCTGTATACTCTCGTAGCTTTATGATTATATTATTGAGTAGTTCTAATTATTTGTATTTATTTGAATTTTGCCTGTATGGACGATGATCATTTGAATGAGCTTTAAATCAGTTTTATCTCTTTCGAGTCGAACTTTTTTATTATTAAAATATGTTTCAAAATCAAGAAGAAAAAATCATGTGTGTTTTATCTGCGATAATTGCGAAATGTTCTCGTAGAAATCCACACAATTTTAAAATTACGAAAACAAATTCCACACACAATTATAATTTTACGGCACGTGTAAACGCAAATTCTAAACAAGCTGGGTTCAATATACTTCGTTTTTAAAAACATTAGCTCAAGCACACACATATTTCATCAATTTCAACTACCCAGATTCTTAGTTAACCATGTTTTTTTCTTAATATTTTTTTTCATCAATCAATCCTAGGCAATACATATTTTACTCATAACTGTTTGGATTTTTTTTTTATCTCAGAGTTTTTGCCACTTTTGCTTTGCTCATTCTTAATATTCAAACAGTTTTTGTTAAACGTATCACCACCACTTGACCTTGACATTGGTTTATTTACATAAAATTTGTTGGGCGAACCGTAATATTTAAACAGAAAGCATCAAACAATAACAGTAACAACAACAACAGGTTATATTTCCATACATAAAAATTTGCTCTCTTCTATATTCTGACGTTTTTATTATTTGGTTTTTTTGCTAAATCATTTATTATTAAATAACTCCGAAATAATAGTTGTGGAACTATGTATATTATTAACTGGTGTGCCAAACATTTGGCCAATAACTAAACCGGCTGGGTGTATTAACAACAAATATATTGTTAATTTGTTTGTGTTTTATGTTTTTTTTTTTTTGGCGCCGAATTGTAGTCATCTTAATGTTAAATGTGAGTGTATGTTTTTGTTTCTAATTAATTTATTTATGGAATATTTTGGGTTTTCTTATTTGTGTTCCATATTCTCGAATCATAGAAACAAATAGTTTATATAAAGAGTTAATATATACTTTTTTAAAGAGTTAATTTTCTGCATCATTTCTTATCGAATCCGAACCTAGGTCAACAATATTTTTCTGTGCGTTTAAAGTCTCTGAGAACGGTAAAGAAGTAGAGAGTAAAACAATGATAAATACATAGATCAAGATATCTTCTAAAAGAAGCGGTGGAGGTTTTCGTCCAATAGAAGACCATAAAATATTTCTATAGAAGTCGAAGCTAGATTCTTAAAGACAAAGAATATTGTTAAGAAGAAACTGGTTTTTATTAGAAAAACAAGAAAAAAAACGAAAAAGTATTCTTACAGAAGACTAAGAGGTCTTCTTATAGAAAACCCAAAGGTTTTCTTATAGAAGACTAAAAGAACATCTTCCGGAAGTCCAAAAGGTCTTGTTATAAAAGACCATAAGGACATATTTTAAAATACCAAGATGTCTCTTTATAAGAGACCCCTTCGTACGTATTCACATTTTCGGCCAATATGTCTTCATATTGAATACCAAGAGATCTTCTTTCGGAATAGGTTAGGTTTGGGAATGTTCAATCACTAATGTGGCTGCAGCACTCTGAGACCTTCCGGTCCATTGTTATCATCCATAAAAGATATGGAGAGATCTGTAGGTTGCACTTTCCTAACCACTTTAGGTTCCTAATGATGCTGTGGATTAAAGCTGGTTTCATAGTTGAAAAGAAGCTTAGAGACGGTGGAAAGTGATCAACCACTACTCTGTGCCGTCTGTTGGCCAGAACTGGTCAGCACAGGGTGCAGTAATCAGTAACATCATGGTCTCATTTACTGGTAAAGGCCCTGATAGTGCAATGTCCAGTAATGACTCCTGTCTTACTCTTATTTAAGTTTTGCTCAGGTTCAATAGTGAGTTTATTCACTTGATTGACAGAGTCGGCCAGATAGATCTTGACAAATTGCACCAGTGTTCATTGGCTCGTTCGTCAAAGATGACAGTTGGGTGGTTTAATTGAGCAATCGATTGCTAGATCTGTAGATTGAGATCCTCATCTAGCTAATTTGTATGTTTTTTCATTATCCATGAAGTCACGGTGTCCTGGTACCCAAAACAGCCGATAGCTGTAAGTGAGTGTTTCCAAAACTGCTCTACATTCGAGGACGACCTCAGATTTGATGTTACAGGATTTGATGGGTTTTAAGAGCCGTGTTACTATCAACAAAGATAGTCACCGGTCAACGATCTCTGCATCCATACTTATCAATTCCGCTGCCTTCCAAATAGCGAAGATTTAAGCTTGAAAAACACTACAGTTGCTATCAAGCATGTAGGTAAGCTCAATGCCTAACCGTTCACAGTAGACGCCAGCCCCTGTACCTTATTCCACCTTGGATCCGTCTATATAAAAAGCCAGGCCGTCCAGAGGATGGTTGCTACGGCTCCAGTCGTCTCTACTGGGGTAAACGACATCTATATCGGTCAAATCTCAGGACTGGTGATACATAGTCGCTTAGTTTTACGCGTTAGACCAATGTCACACCTGTTCGTTCAGGATACATACATGCCCGTAGGTTCAATTTCGCCAAGATTTTGTTTATGCAGAATTAAATAACTACGCGCTCCTTGACACTTAATTCTGAGACACAGAGGCCTTAAGTTCAGCATTGTGTTCAGAGCTGCTTGTCGGGTGCTTCTCGTGGCTCCAGTTATTAGAATCGAGGCGGTTCTTTGTACCTTGTCTAGTTTCCTGGATGTCGACTTGTGACGCAAGCAGAGCCACCAAACAAGAGAACCATAGGAAAGGATGGGCCTTACCATCGTGTTATACAACCAGTGTATAGTCGATGGTTTCATCCCCTAGCTTTTTCCGATGGAGTTCTTGCATGCATAGAGTGCAATCTGCCCTCTCTTCGACCGTTCCCCGGCGTTCTTTTTCCATTGTAATTGAGAGTCCAGGATTGCGGCAAGGTATTTTGCTTCGGGCGACAGATGAAGCTCCACTCCATCCAATGTTGGTGGAGAAAAGACGACGAGCTTACGGTTCCTAGTGAACATTACCAGAAATCAATATCACCACATCGTCCGCATATTCTACGACTTTGAGACCTTTCCCGTCCAGATCCATCAGTGTATTGTTGATTAACAATAACCAATGAGAGTACCCCACCCTGAGGAGTACCTCTTGTTACTGTTTTCCTGATTTTCGTATCCCCCACATTTGAATTTATAATTCTAGTATGTATTTAGCAATTTATCTATCCAGCAAGTAAAGGTTTCAGGAATGCTAACATTTTCAAGTGAGTGGTTTACGGACTCAAGTTTAACGTTATTGGAGCGTTCAATAACGTTATATCTAGAAAGACGTCCAACGTAAAGTTCGATTTTTCTATATTCCTCTCAATATAACATACCACCCTATGCAGTGCAGATTCCACAGACTTGCCTTTTATTTATGTGTGCTGCGAATTGCTAAGAGAGGTGGTGTCTACACGACTCCTAATCTCCTGGTCAATCAATCTTTCGAGAGTCTTGAGTAGAAAGGATGATAGGCTAATGGGTCTATAGTCCTTTGGTGCAGAGTGACTTGATTTATCCTCTTTGGGAATGTAAGTAAACTTTACCTCGTTCCATAGACCCGGAACGCACGAGAGAGTCAAGCACGCCATATAGATCTTCTCAAGAATCACATATATACTTGACGAGGCAAATTGAATCATCGCCGGTGTGATACCATCTGCCCCTGGTGATTTACAGTGAGTGTAATAAGTATTTTGCCTCAATACAAATTTGACAAAATTCCAATATATACCTCTAAAGCCAGCATACTAAAGACGTAAAATGAATTATGTGTAATGGAATATGTTTGTGGACATATTTAGATCGTATTTCTCCAAGAATTAATGCGATAGACCTACTGGTCTAGAATAAATCGGCCGAAATCTATAACGACCCAAAAATGTTTATCACAAAAAAGTATTTTGCTTTTTATTATTATTTTAGAAAAAAATATTACATAAAACACGTTTGGTCCTTTTATAGTTACAATTGCGGTTAACCACATACTATAAGCGATTTGTCGACGATTCCAATACATCAAGGCATTTTTTCGTGGGTATTTTCTCACATTTACATTCAATACATTATCGATCAGTATTTCATTTAATATTTGGTATTTTCTCGACCAAATCTTAAGATAAGAGTATTAAACATAGTCATTGCGGCTTCAAAACATCCCAAATATGTTTAGAATAATAAAAAAGAGGTTTTGCAAAATATAACGCGAGGACAGAACCTTAAAAGCTATTAAAACCAAAATCCGACAAACAAATTATTTAAAAAAATTCGCGAAACCAAATTTTTCTGACTTCGAAATTTGTATGGTCCAGTAATATTGATCTAGGAACCAATATATTCAATGGAAATACCAATAAGGGGGTCAGAATCAAAGATATGAACAGTTCTAAAGCAATAGTAATAAAAAGCAATACATGAAGTTGGGAGAAAACATCATTATTCGTCAAATCCTATTGTCTTTTGAAAAACTGTGGTTGCTGGTGGCGAATACGCATTCTATATTTTATCTCCGATTAACACCATCAGTTGCGAATAAAATGCAGTAGGGAATAAGCCGGTCGATCTATTTATTTTCGAAATAAGATATATTTTGTTTTTTTTTTGTTTCAAAACTATTGTTTGTCTGTGTGTAGGAAGAAAATATTGACATATATATTGTATATTTGTTTACAATATTTTTTAGGATTACATCTTTTTGAAATTGATACATAGCAGGAAGGAAAACTAACAGCTATAATGAAGATAAAACAGCTCCAAATTTGATGAAATGTAGAATTTTGCCTTTATTTCTAATTTTTATTTTCGTAAACGTAAACAAATTTGACAACAATCAATTTATTTTCTACAGCATTGCCATATTGAAATTGCTTAATTCAGTATAAATTCAGTTTGATTTTGTGCATTAACAACACATAAAAATGAGGATAATGTACAAGTTAATTTGAATTAAGGCTGTTAATGCAAATTAAGGCTGTCGTCTGTCTAGGCTATAAGATTGTCATCACAAGAGGTTGATTGTCATCACATTCAATGTTGATGATATCAACATCTTTGCAACCTGGGAAATGGGTTTCTGCTAGGAGGTTTGGAGTCTCAGAACCGGAGTTCGTCCACGCTCCATCTAGCTAGGGGAGTATATTTTTAAGCAAATAAATAGAATAGTTTTCAAATCGATCTTCTACTCGGCCCTAAACTAAACCTGTTCCAAAAGGTCCTATGCTGCCCCCACCGGGTTTTAAAATTGCAGTTGATTTTCAATGAGACTTGAACTCATCCAATTTATGGTATTCAAAATTATGTAAATTCTCCTTTGCATTTGAATGACGTAGATACGCTTTTTTATGAAACAGCCCGACTGAGAGTTCAATGAATTTCGAGATGTCTTCAGTGAGGGGTAATGAATTCACTTTTTGCGATATTTTTAGTTAAGAAAATAAATAAATAAAAATAAATATTGTATACAAAAAAAAAAAGTTGTGTGCGGTTTTTTGTTTTGTTTTGCAATAGAAAAAGGGCACACGTCATCCGCAACTTAAATGCCCACATATATGTACAGAATTCTGTACGAAAATACACTGGCACATATTGATTTACTAGAGCGCACAAAGAACATTTTTTCCTGCTATTAGTCACAAATAAATAAAAAAAAATTATCGAAGTGCAACAGAATATCTATTCTAAACAAAACTTGTTTTCGGAGGTACATTGTTTATACAAAATGTAATTGTGTAAAACAACAAAGGCTGCAGAACTTCCACTGGAAAGGTGTTATAAATCCAAGTGGTGTGGGGGGCTTTAACCGGTGCTGATAGTTGAATAAAGGAAATACAAATTAAAACTTAAGGTCGGTCAATAACATTCGTAGTAAAATTATGATGATGATCATATAATTATCAATTAATCCCGCAGATATGTCTGGGCATCACAATTCCGATTGTCTAGTAGCCTCTGGCAAAGGCACCTGTTTTTCTCAGCTTACTATAAAAATTAAAACAAAAATGAATTAATACAAAGAATACAACAACATCGACTTATTTTGTATTATCTCTCCTAACTTATTTCGTATTGACTGGTAACTTATTTTTTTGTTTTTTGCAAATCCAAACCTCTAATCTGTAATAGATAATTTCAAAATGATTATTTTTTTCAACATTTTATGAATGAAATTATAAATAGAATATCAATATTTACAATGGTCCTCCTTTATTGGCAACTAATATTGTTGAAAATAGTTCTCCCTACCTTGCCCCATACCATCGCAAAAAAATTCGATTTTACCAGCAACGCAGTATAAGGAACAATCAGTCAATCAGCCGTAACGCACAACTTACCATCTCCCACCGAACATTGGGTGCCCTTACAATAACCACATCGTGATTTTTGTGGCCCATAAAAATCCACAATTGTATAGTCCATAACAAAAGCGTTCAAAATTTGGTGAATATTGTTCTAGCAAAACTCCAATAAGAAAAAAATTGAAAAAAATAACAACGAAAGCACACGATACGCAGCCCGACTTAATCAGCACGACGAACGAACGTAACTAAAGCTGTGGCGAAGAACGAACGAATGAAAAGCGACAGACCTAATCGAAAAACGTTTCAAACTCTGCGAATAGGGGAGATAAGAGAGAATGACCGATAAAGAGCAGATCAAAATGAAAATGGAAGACAACCGTCATGTTTACGAATGTGTGTGAAGCATAACGGAAAACTATTCCACAGATGGAACGATTGGAACTAGATGAGGGGTATTCATTTCGTTTCATAATTCAGCGTTCCCGTTCGTATTGCAGATGGATATAACTGTTTCGTAATTAAAAGTTACGGAGGTCCCATTATCCTTCTTTTCAGACTTACAGAGCGACGTAACCGATGCCCACAGATTACGCACACTGGTTATTAAAAACCATGAAATTTTTTGAATTCTTCCAGAAGTAAGTGTTGTGTTAATATGGATCCTGACTTCTAGGGGGATTTCAAAAAAATGGGTCTATAAGCCGTTGTTTACTGTATCTGCAAAACGGATTGAGATAACCCAAAAACCTTTAAAATTATTGTTATAATCGATTCCGTAATACAGAATTTAATTGGTTACCCGTGCTCAAACTTTCGGGTCAAATAATTGGAATGATAAAACAATTCAGAAGACATAATCATATATGAGTTCCCTGACTCTTAGATTACACTCATTTGCTAGTCCGACTTCCTCTACTGGGAAATTAGGTCTAATCTCGGGTATTCCATCAGAAGGAATAAATCTAGCAACTGCAACAGTAATAATGTCCCGGAATTGTATTTCTCCTACCCTAAATGGGAAAGTGTGGCAATGTTATCTGATCTGTTGATGAAATCTCTGAAAACCTTCCAGTTGGCTTTCATGTGGTTCAAAAAAGTGTGACGTTCCAAGGTCTGCTCTTGCAGACAATTTCGGGAAGGTATTTTGTATCCAAGAGAAATGCCGACAATTTACGACATTAATCTACCTGGGTCACACGATTGTCTCCCTTATTCTAGTGGTAGAATTCCCATTCGCAGCGCATTTAAGTACCTTAGTAAGTCCCAGTGAACGGAGCAGTATAGTCGGACGGGACCGACCTTACGATACCCTACACAACTACCACGGAACTCTAACTTTCTGCGGATGTTTATTCAGAGCCTGGGCAATATTTTGTGATATTTGCACCATCTTGCCCGACAGCATATCTTGCTTACACTGACATATTTTCCCAATATTCATTACAGCACTTCTAATTACTTGTTCAGATTCCCTTCACCGTATGTTGTGGTGTTCCGCATATAATTGTGGCCTATAGATCGGCTTATCTGATCATCACCGAAAATTATAGGCGTTGTCCTTGACCACAACTGGAATCTCATGGAAAATTTCAGAGCGATCAGCGCTATATTTCCGCCTTCTAGCGTGGTAATGGGTTACCAAATAATGCCTCAGTACGTAAACACCTGTAAATATTTAAGCATAACTCCCAATCTGAGTACATACGACCATATAATTGGTTGCCTGTATCGTGTTTACAAATTATAATGGACAGACCTCAATCGGTGCAAAACATTCCGAGATATTTTAATCCAAAAAACAGATAAATTCCATATTTATATATATGTAACTTTGATGACATCGGCTGACCGAAATTAATTGTACATTTTTTTGGTGATAATCCGACACTCCACTACTTTACAATAAAATATTTGTTGCATAATTTTTATTTTTCTTCGAAATTATCTCTCTGGAGAATTCGGATTAAATTCGCCATGGATTTTACTGACATATTACTCGAATCATTGTCTTGGCGAAGCAGCACTTGATTCTTCAAACGGTATAATGTTGCTATTAATAGTCGCCCCAAAAAAGCCGTAACCCTTAGATAAGGAGGTTCATTGTGTTATTTTTTATGGTAGTCTCCATATGGTACAGTTATATGGGTAGTCCCCATAATCGGTATTTGATAGCTTTTGAGCAAATTAGTAATTTAAAGCTTAAAAAAATTTACTAATTTGAGTTCTTACTAGGTAGAAAATCTTCCTCCTAACCCTTTCAAACTTTGGTCCTCTAAATATTGACAGATCGTTAAAAAACAGTCATTCCGATCGCCTTTTCTGCGGTGTATTTGTGCGACTAGAAAAAATAATGTTTTCAGTCCATTTCATTCGCCAAATATCACCTGATCACTTCGGAAAATTATAGATGTCGTCTTTGACCATAACCGGAACTTCATGAAAAATGTCAAAGAGATCAGCGCTACATTTCCGCCCTCTAATGGTAATACCAAACAATATCGGAGTACGTAGAATTCTGTACATATTTCAGAATAACCCCCTCATCCGAGTACATACATCAATATAATTGGTATCAATTTAAAGGACAACTCTTGGATATAATATCAACTTATCGTGTATATGTCCTTCAGTATAGAATCAAAATTCTTCAATTTTTCACAAAAACGTATGGGTCCATTTAGTCATATTGATCGATCTTCATCAAAGTAGTCATGCTTTTTCCATGGCCAGACCCCTTATTCTGAGTAAAATGACGTGATGTTCGGGCTAGACATACAAAAATGTTGGGCCGCCAAGTACACCAGCGTTGAGGCGTTCTCTTAAATTTTTTTCTTGTTAAAACAAAAATAAACATTAACCAAATTTTTTACACTTCTTAGGATGTTATTTATGTTTTACAAATACTATATTAATTAATTTCCCCAGATAATTAATGTTTTTAGTTTCCCTTAACAATTTTTTAAGATAAATTTTGCCCATCATTGTTTTTAGTTACCCCCTCTAATAAATATACACCCAAAGCTTCATTTACATTTTTTGGCGCCAGTTTCTATTAACTACTTCAAAAATAAATAAATGGTTACTTAGTAACCATAACTGTGAGAAAACCACTCTCTAATTGACTGCTTTTCTCTTTCACACAAAACATGCAGAGAATGAGAGAACTCTTGATAACAGACGATGAATAAAGCTTTATTGAAAAATAATTTCAACCACTGCCAGTCAGTGTTATTTTGTTACACATACGAAGCAGGTGGCCGATTGTCGGATATTGTCGAACATATAACGGTCGGAATATTAACGCATAACTTACTGTGTGTGTTAAAAGAAAAACCTCGCGATAAGTAACGTGAACAAATTTTGCCCTCTTTTTGTTACAAAAATAAATAAATAGAACAAAATATTAAACCCCCCTTCAAAAACATTAATGAAACATCATGTGTAAAGAGCTAAACATTTTGTTAGCGTGAGAGAAACTACTACGTCAAGAAAATAAATAGCAAGCAAAAAAAGTTGTGCTTTTTCTTCTTCTACCCTGTCTGCTGCCACCACTAGTGTTTTCGTTTTTGTTCAAATAAATGTGTTATGTATTTGATTTGATTTCGATTTGATTTTTTCGCAATTCAATCGTGAGTGAGCAAGTGACAACATTTTGTAATGCTGATGAATTAAATAAAAAAAGGTGATTTGAGCGATAATAAATATTCCATAGCTACTAGAAAAATAATTATAACCTAATAAACAACAATAACAGAAAAAAGTGAATACTTAATAATAATAATTACATGTGTTTACAATTATAATAATGAAGAAAACATAAATAAAAACGAAATCAGCATTCCAATGCAAATCCATGCCAGATCAAAAGAGCGCATGTGCAGTTACTTGTTTTAAGAGCGCACAAAATTGCAATTGTATAATAACAGTGTTTGACAGCACAACACAACTGACAGGCACTAACAACACGTGATTTTTTACCCCAGAGATATAACAGCAAACCACACTAAAATAAAGAGCAGGAAGAAGAAACATGGGAATAAAAAAACAGCTGTTTATTATTTAGTCAGTCATGTCAGGTCATTAGGTTTTTTGGTAATATGTTTTTTAGTGTTGTTGCTGTTCTTCTTCTTCTTCTTGCGGTTATTACCTTGGTGAAAGCTAAGTTACTCCATGACCATAAAGAAGACAACGACGGATGATGATGCGTGCAAACAAAATCATGTATTTATAGAAATAAAAAAAATTAGGCAAAATAATCAATTTGAATGGAAATTTTTTTGTTGACGTTTTTTATTGACGATTTGTTTTTAATACGTTTGGGATTGTTGTGATTAAGATTGGGTAGGTGGAGGGATAAAGTGTTGATAATGACGTGATACCGGCAGACTCTTTCCAATAATCTCTTTTGCTCACAATTTGAATTGTCGAGAGCATCATGACAAGGTGGTTTTCGGCCCGGCTTATTAAATATTAATGAAATTAATTTTTTTTTTTAAATTCCATTGGATTAGTTAGATGGGGAATATTTCAAACTTGAAAAGTGAAAAATGTTATTTCCTATACAAATGAAATAGGAAATATGTTAATGTGGGTCAAGCTTTCGGCATTAAGTGAAACTAAGTTTTTTTGTGTGAATATTGATGATGAATCCCAAAGAAAGATAATCAATTTAAATGTGTGATTAAACATTACAGTTTCAAATATTTCAGAATCATTAAGAATGTTTTTAAAATAATTTACTCCAAGGGGATTTATGTTGACATGTTTTGGTAAATTGCATCAGATTTTGATTGGAACATTTTGGCAAATATTCCTCTGCAAAAATATGCGATACTGATACCGAGACAACATGCAAAATAGGGAAAAATGTGAACATTTTGTCAATTTTTTTTTTTGAAATTGTTTACTAAATGTGCATCTAACAAGTAAAAAAGAGTCAGTTCGGTTCATATCGGACATTCCATTCGCCTGATATTGGATTTACAAATATTGAAAAATTTTACCATTTGTGGGGCAGGTACCAGAAGGAGTAGACCAATTCGCCTGGGCTTACAAATTGAAAATTTTGACCATTTGTGGCAGAGGTACTAGAAGTAGTTGACAAATGCGTCCCATCTT